CCTGCCCCTTTCATTACCCATTGCTCTTCAGGCGTATTATGTAGTCATGCAAAATCCGAGCCATCAGGCCCTGTCGCTAAATCAAGCATTTCGGTAAGTTCGTCCTGTTCACACCGGAATCGTTGTGCGTTAATCATTTTCTTTAAACACTCGATTCTTTCGGTGGTAACTTACAAAACGCCCAGCAGTTAATTATCGGCAACTTATGTATTAACCCTCGTCGCCTTTACTGTGTGTAAGTAGAACAAGACAGATATATTTTCATCATACCTTTCATATGACACTGAAAAGCCGATCTAGTATGGCTGTTCCACTTTCATCGTCGCGAACATTGCCTATTTAGCAAGCTCTTGACCGCTGCTCAAGTTGGCTCCAGCCCCCGTGCTTCACTTAGACACTACTTTATATAACGTTCCATGTCTTTGATCATCGCGACGTTAATGTGTGCATCCGCAGTCGTGCCCCACTTCGACTTGGCGGGTAGTGTTATTCTACTGTTCGTGGACCGCGAAGGTTAGCAATTCACATGCTGCTGCATGCTATTGATCCTAAATAATTCTACTAAGGCACAACAACCGCCTTGAACTGGTACTTTTCTTCTCGGTAGAATACTACTCGGGAAAACGGTTTTGAGTCAGAAGCGTCACCAAAAAATTGGTTTCCAGTTCATTCGATCTCTCCACTTTTCGTCTTTCTCGCTGGAAGCATTCAAGCTGATCTCCTCATTGTTATTGTTTCACCCCAACCCCCGTCAATTATATTCTTGTGTATGCGGTAAAATGGGACGGAGTTTATTTTAAAAAGATGCATCAAGTTTACTTGATCAAGTTACTCCTTTTGAAAATTTCTGGGCCAAGTCTCTATAGAACCAAATTGGCTAAAAAAGGAGGTCCTAAGGACAGCATCACGCTACTTAGTTAACACTTCAGAGATTTTTGACTTTCATCAACAGGGAGAAATCTCTGAAACGATATCATAAAAATTCGTTTTTCTGGGATTTTTACCAGCTAATCTGTCGTCCTTTTAGCACATTTTGTATTTGTAGTGTTAATTCATGTTGATTCAATCTTATTTCAAAATGCTGATAAGCCACGTTCCCCATTTGGACCTTGGTGCTTCGCAAACCCGCGCAATCCTAAGTATCATCTTACTTGATTTGTATTACCTACGGTTTGCTTTGCACGCCTAAGTACCGTGTGACTACAAAATCGAACCGTTAAAGTTTAGCATCTCAACTATTTACCATAAGTTGACCGTAGGTTCTTGTGACCATAATAGCATTCATCACCCAATTACCAAAAGGACTTCGCCACTCAGCAAATTGTTTGTGTGTTTTTATATGCTATTCTATCCATCCGCAATCGTAACACCTTTCTTTCTCATCAATCCTTCATCATACAGACGCTTGTTCCACTTGTTGGCCGCTGGTCTACTCCTTCCCGGTAGTGCTGGGGTAATCGATCCATGTGAACCGGGAAACATTCGTCTACACACAGCCTTGAGTCTGGCAGATCAGGTGGGTTCATCTCGAATATCAGTTGTAATAATGACTGCATCTGGGAGTATGCATCGGCATACGGAAATCATCAGAACACTGGTGTTGAAGAAAGAAAAAAGATCTAACCCACAACTGATGTATGTATGTATGACCTTGCGGTTAATGAAAAGTAAAATACTCGTTTACCCAGTGGCACATTCCAGCCGCCGCTCCCTTCTCTAGTGCATATGTTGTCGTCATTCCTGGGTGCCATATAAACGTGCATCCGAGGAGTACAGAGCGCAGCTATCAAGACCAAATTACTTATTCTGAGAAAGTCGCAGCAAAATAGCGTTTATTGGTAGAGGTAAAGTGGATAAGAATACTGTTTCACCTGAGCTGCACGCTTTTCTACACACGACATCATCCACATTCTATGGATGTTCAAACAGAAGCAATAACGCTGTTCCACTCTGTAAGCTCCGTGGATCTCCTTTAACGTAAATCTTATCTCGGTCTGACTACTCGCTTGATTATTCACAATCCCAGTTGAGTTGAGCAAAACGTAAGCACCTTATCGTACGGGATACGTATATGAATATCAANAACTAACATTTAGTACACGTAAATAGTAGATTGGCATACATCGATTGTGAAAAGGGGTAAATACTCACATCAAGATTTCCCGAGTCCACGTAAATAAACGACGTAATATGACCCACAGAGATCGAACGTAATAGTCCAGTGTGTAATCGATTGTGTGTGGAACCCTGTACACCCGGACCAATGGGCTAATGTCACAAGGTCAAGTACATTGATTGGCTGGGTTCATGAATCCGCGAATGGGTCAGAGTGGTGAGGTGACAGGCGCGGTGAGTACNGTCGGCGTCGCATAACTGGTAAGCATTGTCACGGTGTGCGTGTGTGTGATATGTGTCACATGACTGAATCAACGAGTGTGAACACATGTGTAGATTAGATGCGCAGATGTGTGTGGGGTTATGATAGCACCCGATCGGGAAGCGTGTCGGCCGCTGTCTGATAATTCAACAGGACCACATCGTAAATTTTTGAGTCTACACACTCCCTCATCGTCACCACCAGAGAAAGTCGTTTTCAAAAATGAGCAAATCAGTAATTTTTCTTCTCAGTTAGCAGTTTTGTTGTTGCCAGTCTGGAATTCAGTTTAAGTTTTTACGGCCATTAACCATGCAATTTCTTGCGCCGATTTTGGTTGCTGTCTTTTGGTCGCCCATTTGGATAAAAGAGCAGAATGAAGATGAAATTGTTGAAAACCAACTCAAGCGGAAGATAGAGAATTCATACAAACTGGTATTAAGACAACAATGAGTAGATGCATGAGCGCCATTGTTTGCGACAACCAGTCCTATCGCTCAGTGTCTCTAACCATCGGTGACTATGATCTCAGGTTCCCCAGCCAGAGAGCCTAACGGGACATATGTGACCCAGTGTCCTGGTTAGGGTTTTCATACCCTATTACGAGGTCTTAGCTTGACCACCCTTGGTTTTATTCCACCCACTATCCGCCTCGGCGAACATCGCTCACCGTGGCAACCTATCTGGTGACGTGCGTAACGGATGCCCCAACCAGCGTAATCTACGGAGGTAGACCACGTGCTCCAGTGGACGACCGCAGTTCCCTAAACTTTTGCGTCTAACCTCAGCATTGCTCGTCTGGTTACACCACCAGACTGGTGCAATGCGACGTAGACAGCGGTGTTCGAACACTGACAGTTTATCTTTATTTTTTTTCGTAGTGGCCAAGTCTATGCACCGTAAAGCAGCCCTGGTCGAGCTGTTGACAGAGTATTGAAAATCGGTTATCGTAGCTTGGGTGAAATGAGTTCCATTTCGTCTGTTCGCCGAGCTTGGCAATCTGTTCGCAGACTTTTTATCACCAGCCCAGGTGACATCACCAGTGCTTGTGAAGTGGTCACTGGAACTGGTCGAACTGCTGCAGCATATACTCGACCCTTCACAGACAACCGGATGTTGCGATGGCGCCACAGATGTCTCAAGTTGGCAAATGCCAACCGAGCTTTCCGTATGCGCGCCGACACTTCATCTTTGATGCGTCCACCAGGTGATATATAACTGCCCAGATAGCAAAACATGTCTACTTCCTCTACTGCTTCCCCAATCGGGATGAGGTTGCTGCTGGATTAACCCAATATTGTAGCGACATTTTACACTTTGAAGGTGCAAAACTCATACTGAACATGGCTACACTAGCACTCAAACTATCCCGAAAGCTTTCGACTTACCTGAATCTTCACTTAGTAGCACAATGTCGTCTGAATACTCTGGACCAGACAGTCTGCCACCTGGGAGTAAGTCAACACCGTTATCCTCGCATGAGGATAGGGCTGGAATATAGCATTGCCGTTTAATCCCAACTACGCAATTCAATGATTTGGGTAACGGTGTTATGGGTGCACTTCTGTCGCTGATTATGGTGAACAGTCATCCTAATTGTTTGCTTCATCTGAGCATCCACTTCTTTTCAGTTGTAGCTATATACCAATAAATTTTGTGCACGTTACCTGTTACTTCCCACCTTCACATGCTCGATTTGCATGTGACTCGTTTGTTAACCCCCACCCACATAAACCGAGTTAGACGGTCGATTAGGACCTCGATATATCTTGGAACAGATCGGTCGAACCAATAACGTTTTTTCCATTACCATGCTCACTTTGTCTTCCCATTTTAAATTATGTTTGCTATCTGTGACCCATTTTCATCTCCTCTTCTGTTTAACAAACAGGACGAACTGTGTTGTACGGCACAAACGTTGCTTCGAGTCCTTATGCACGGTGGCTATGACACGCTATTTCATTTTGACGAGAACGCGGATGGAGCCACTCGAGGTAGGTTTTCCATTCGGTTCGTTGCACAGGCGCCGATCTGTTTTCATTGAGCTTTGCCAACCAACAGACGTCATTTATGTGGAGCCGCGTTTTGCGGGTTCGAACCTGCGGATTGTGCAAAGCCCGGGCCACTGTCAAGCAGTCATGGTTTATTCAGAACTTGTATTCAATCATGGTACTCACGTATTTGAACGCACTGAGTGTGGTCGAACTCGCTTTTGATGTATGAGAAAGGTTAATGGTCGTGTTCAAGGCCATGGATGAATGTTTAAAGTCAGTTAACTTTGGTGGAATTTAGACGCAGCAAGTGGAGGTCATCGTGAAACTAAGTGTGTCGTTCGGGTCACGCTAGGCATGTCACATAACTTAGACACGAGACCAATTTTTCTTATGGAGTAATCAGCTGTACGGCTTCACTGCCGCGTACTTCTCTTCAAGTGGTGGTAGAGGTCATAATAGTAGCGTCATCGAGCTCAAATGTAAGTAATATTCTTATCGTACCCATTGGTGTACCCATATCTACCTATGGACCGTGCGCTTCGTCTTGTCGACCTCATACAAAAAATTCATTCTGGTTAGATTGGTGATCATTTTCAACACTTATTCTTGAACTTCATGAGCACCCATTATACAGTTATCTCTAATTTCCTCTCGAGGCGTTTTCCTCTAAGTGTATTCGGACGGAGTAAGTGGTGGATCTCACTTGGACAAGTGATTCCGGACCACCTTTTTCCCGCCTTTTTTCACACCTAGATCTCGCTTCCCTCGTGAAACTCCGTGAAAAAATTCAAACAGTTTGAGTTTATTTCCTGGCGCTGTTGATGTGATTGCATCTTGATGTGGTGTGATGGCTGGTGCATCTCTGTGACTCAACGAGCTACACATAGTGGCTTTTGTAAAGCGGGATATCTGATCATGCCTGGAAAGTTGAGAAATAGAAGTCAGACAAAGTCCAGTTTTCTGGTTCTCTAGGTTGATGTCCCAATCGGGGAAAAATGATGGAGGAATAATCGATCCAAGGAAATGAGCCTCCACTTCGCTTGAGTTTGTGTTCGGAAGGGAAGCAAAATCATAATGTGTTTGTGCATCATTTATGCATATACATCGATCATCTACAGTGCCAATTCACAAAAGGTCGAAGTTTACTTCAAGCTCATTCGTTGGAGTTGCAGCTCTGATATTATTGTGTTAGCAGGTGATTTTAACGCATTGGTTGGAAAACTGAGCGCATTNGAGCGCATTCGAAGTTTGCTTAGGGGATCTCTTCACTCTGCCCGCCCAGCGAACAGACAACGGTGTTTGGCTATTTCAGTTTGGTGCAGATCAGCTGTTCTTATCTAGCAACAACTTTCTACGCAGCTCTCGATGAACAGCAATATGACTTCTAATTCAATGCGACCTAGCTGTTAGCTACCGTTGGCATGGCTCTGTATAAAATTTCAGATCCTATTGTACCACCTGCATTAAGTTTGATTGCACCCTAGTTCTAATACGCTGCCCGCTTCGACTCATCAGCCGTCGGCAAAGCTCGCCTCCTCAGCTGGCCCATCATCGCCTGAGCGACCCAGCTGTTTGCACATGACGGGGATGCTTATAAAGGAGCTACGAACATCGTGAAGTGTCGGAATGGATCAGCAGTAAGATCAAATTGGATGTGCGATGCATTCTGCAGTAAACTGTGTTAGTTGGGCCGAGCCAGAAGTTCGTCGAAGTCACTAGAGCTCTCAGGAGTCAGTAGTCCTGATGGAATAAAAGCGAAAGATCCCAATCTGCCACGATCATCATAGGCTCAGTGGCGTCTACAGTGTCAGTTCAGAGAAAGTTTAAAGAATGATCTCGAAAACTGGTGAACCAAAATAGCTGGTGAAATGGAAGTAGGTTGTGTAATGCGAGCGTGTACACAACACTAAGGTAAGTCGATGAGTATTTGAGAATGGTTCTTTTTCACATGGACTCCGGATTAGCTGGAGTAAGTGCCTCCCACCTTCCAGGTTTGGGTTCGAAAGACTCTATAGTTGGTTGGCGAGAGACACTGGAGGATATGACAAATAACCGACAACGGTAACGTCCTTGTTATCATTTCTTATCAGGTTAGAATGATTACGAAAGTGGGCATGCATAGTTAGGCTCTGCACTCTGTGTGTTGCTCATAGAGGTTCACTTTCCCTTTTATCTCCATCCAGTTAAACTCATATTCTATCCATTATGTACTTTCTCATTTACTTTGTGCACAATATGAGCATGCCAACGATTAGTGAGGTTCACTTCTCTGTATCTCAGTGTAAGGTGATGATGATGAATTAGGGTGGAATGTCACCGTTTCATCTAGTGCTTGAAAGTAAGTGACTCCCCTACCACTTGCCTACTTTTCCCATACATTTTAGATCATTCCGTGACATGACACTACCGTCTTATCTCGCCACAGCTTATGAGTCCCACGAAAAAACGACACGGGAACACGCATTCAGAGACGTGCAATTATTTCGAACGAATCATCTACTAGTCTGTGTTGATCATATCAGAAAATGATGTTTCGTTACCCTGATCTCATGAAATTATTTCAAGAACAGGGACACTGTTGTGTTTATCGGTCTGCCACTAATTCTTGTCTCAAGGGACGTTTCTCAATGATTTCCAGTAAAAAAAACAATTGCAAAATAGTACGAGCCTTTATTAGAGTCGCCAGAAAACTGTTTGTAATAATGGAATAGTACGCTATATATTTATGGAGTTGAGTATGGTCTAAATTTTTCTCGATTGGGAATCACGAGAACACTGATGGAACGAATGGATCAATCAGATTACAGTATTCTATCCATTACTTTATATCCCACCAACCCAGTGAAATAGATTAGGGCAATTGGTTAAGGTCTCTTCAGGAACGTACCTGCATTGGTTACGGTGTGTTCCCAGTAGAGGTTTCAGGCCACCAGTCCGTGATCTCTCGAATCCAGAGAGATGTAATCCTTGAGAGCAGAATATACTATAAAATCTTGTCATTTAATCAGAATCTCCGTTGACCCTATTGCTCAATATTTCTTTGCGTGAATGTTGGATTATTGGTTCTGTAGCTGTTTTTTTATTGCAATAAGGAGGCTATGCTCTTTTTTCTTTGTCTCATCACAGAACGATTCCTCGCGGCAGCTTCGGCGGAGTGTAAAGTGCCCATTGAATGGTCCGAATCGGTCGGCTTGTTGCCCAGTGCGGAATGTCCATCACCAGAGACGACCGAACCAAACAAAACCCCCGTCTCAGTTTCCACTTGATCGCTGCAACCATGCCACTCCCGCGTTTCTGATCCGATATCCCCGTTTCGAATTCATTGTCAATATACACCTGTTGTTTTAAGTTGTATTGCCCGAATTTTGACGTCCGATTGCATTGTGGGCACTTTCCTCTATCATTCTGATTGGGAGAACATACACATACACACATTTCACAATAAGTAGTATATGAATGACTAGACAAAATTTCCCTGGAGGCACACGACCGGTTTCGCGGTTCGTGCCGCTCGTCGGTCATACGTATTCGGTAGTCTTTTGTCTTTTCATTCATATACTTGTACCCAGGAAGTGTATTTTCGTCATTATATATATATATATATATATATATATACCGGTTTGCGTACAAGCATGGTGCCAATGTCACAACAGTAATAACAATAACAGTAACAGAGAGTGGGTGGATCGGAATACAGAACAGAGTGAAAAGAAGGTAAAACAGTTGAAATGGTAAATGGTAAATAACGAATTCATTCAAAGGAAACCTCCCCCCGCACAGTAATACGTTTATCATGTTTCTGTCAGTTTTAGGCGCGATTCTTTACCCCTGCAGGACTATGTTCTTATAGGCGTTCTTGTGAGTAGAAAAACCGTTCAGAGATATTTTCCAGAAACCTACGTCTGCCAAGTCCAGAGTAGGAGGTAACCTAACCTTCAATCTTTGCACATCCATGTGCAGCCTGCAAAACAACATAGTTATTTCAGATTAGCCCGCAGTTTGTTTGGTACATTCACACTCTCCGGAATACGATAGAAACAGTGACTTCATTTAGTGGCCGACTGCGACTACCAGGTCACAATGCAATATAAAGACTCATGCGATGTTTAACAATGAGAAGCGTAATCTAGACCAGAGCCTACTCTGCATCCTCAATCACTCCCGCTGATTTTTGAAACTGCCTATTTGGTGAGCCTAGGCTCTTCTTATTCATGGTTAACCATTAAACGAGTGTCCAATTCCTTATCCTTATCCGCAGCGCGTTGCAAACAGCTATATCTACTTGATCTATCGATTGCTCGTCCCAAAGGGTGTTTGGTATTCAGATATTTTGTCACATCAGCTTCGGTTGAAGCGCCTAGCCTGACAGTCTCGCCCAATGCTACATGTTCGTGGAACGTGTTTTGTGCGCATAACCGATTCTGTTCAGTTCGGTCGCGTTGCCGTCAATCTTACACAATAATGGTCAGGATTGGGCTCTTGTCTGTGTGGAGATGAATGATGAAAAATTACGGAAACAAATTAAATCGACTTATAAAGCTGTAATGAAGTTAAGCTACTGTTGCACAGATGCGCAACCTTGTTTGTGACAACCGGTCTTGCTGGTATTCCCCGACACAGCGCGTTTTGTAGTTGCCAACCGAGAAACAATCCATTCTTTCCGTCAGTGAATTATACATGTATTTCTACCAAAAAGCTGACCGTCTGTTCACCATTAATCTTTATTCAAGCACTGCGATTAATTTCATTAAAAAATACATCCAGAGGGAGTGTAAATTGATATCTACACTATCGATCTATCAAGCGCTGTATTTGACAGAAACCAAACCCTCGAATCTCCTCACCCGATCAGCAGCGATTCAACCGTCTCACCACATCTAGCCAATACCATAAAGCACGTGATGTGCACCACCCTGGAGCCCAGGGTGTAATTTTTTCATGACGATATAGTTCTGCGTCGTGCCATGCGGCCTGCAACAACCTCTCATCATCTCTTGATACAAAGA